GGGAAGGAAGTTCATTCTTCCTTAAACTTAGGGAAGGGAACAGGTTTCAAGGGAAGACTGAACCTCAACTTGAATCTGTATATCTCCGCACTCTGGCCAAAGATGCTTGGGGGAAGTGCAGATGGTATTTTCTGTCCTTAGTTTGGGCCCTGTGAAGGGTTGAAGGCAGTGCTTTATAGGACATCTTGGCCCATCATGATACATGAAGAAATCTTAGTCTCTTTCTTGCAAGTAAACTGTTGCCTTCTTGCCTCTATCACATCTTGTCAAATTCACTCCACATTGAGAAACTTTACCTAGCTCCAGCTACTCCAAGCTCCTTTTGAAGCATTTTCTTGTTTGTGGCCATGTTCATAGTCAAGGCTGGTCTTGGGGTACTATGGATAGATATGTGTGTAACTCTTTGACCTCCAGGTTCCTGTGTGTCCTTAACTAATAAGTTAAGCTTATTGTCCAGCTGAAGGCAGTGTTGCCCAGCTCATTGGTCTTGTCATCAGACAAGCCTCCAGTTCTGTGTCCGGCTCTCACCAGCCTGTGTTGTGATTTATCAAGTAATTCTACCCACCCACCTCCACTTTCTTCTAGTTTACCTTTTGGGTTCCCAAATGTTTGACATAGTTACTAATCAGGTAGTAGCTCCTAGTTAGGTCATCTTACTTAAAAGTGCCTTCTTCTCACTGGGCCTTTTAGCACATCATAAGATGTCTTAAAACCTCACTTATTAGGATGTGGAAAGGGGTATAATTAAGTGCCATTTGTCACCAAGTCCAGCTCAATAATTTTTTTGGCGGGGGGGGGGGGGGACAGTACCAGGGATTGAACTTGGGACCTTGCACTTACGAGCTCAATAAATATTTTAAAGCTGTGGCCTTAGAAGGGATTCAGGACCCCAAATCTCAATCTGTGAAAATCAGATCAGAAAGCTTTAGGAGACACACCTATAAAAAGTTATATGCTATTCATAGGTCCTAGTTTTAAAACTAAACAACCGAACAATACTTCCAAATGTCAATCCAATTTTAGTTCATTTGGAAGGGGGCTTTGTTCTTACCGAGTTTCAGAATCTGTTGTAAATAAAGCATCATTTTTGTGAAATGACTATATTCTTTGACAAATATGCCTATTAGAGATCCTGCATTTATTCTCAAAACTCAAGCTTGAACAGGTCCCCTTTCCACAGCCCAAGGATCAGCCTGGGCATCTGTGGCAAGAACAGAATCCCAGATTCTGCTAGACTCTGCAGATTCTTCCACCAAGCAGGCTAATCCAAGCCTGTTCTTACAGTATTCCTGGTTTTAGAGGGGAAGTTGAGTTTTTTCTACCATTTAAACAAAACATGTTTTCCCCAAGAGAAATAGGAAGTAGAGATGGACAAAGAAGTATGAGACTACAAATCACTAATTGTGCTTCCAAGACACTAATTTGAGATCTGTTCCATGTGTTTTTTGGAATATCTATATTTGAGGGTTGATTAATAATACTCTCAAGTCCATCAAGACTGGAGCTACCTCCCTGTTTTTGAAGTCCTGTGATGCTTTTTAAAGATGAAGGCATACCAAACCAAGATTATACATATATGATGATAATATCTACTCATGCATATTGGCATATGTGTAATGACTACCACTTAACACAAAGAGAGTAACCTGTGGGTATAGTGGGTGAGCAAAATTTCTCCCTGCCCCTTTGGAAGGTTGTAGTATTTCTTGAAATGAACTGGAGTAGACATATCAATGGGAGAAAAAGCATATAAATTTATTAATATGCAGGAGGCTTCAGAGGAAGTCAAGTACCCAGTGAGATCTAGAGGCTTAGAAGCTTATATACTCTGTATTAGTCAGTTTTTCCATCACTGGGACAAAATAGCCAACAGCCACACCTTAAAGAAAGAGAGGTTTAATTTGGCTCATGGTTTTACTGCTTCGGTCCATGGTTGGCTGGCTCAAGACAGAAACAGAATGGTGGAAGGGTACTCTGGAAGAAAGCTGCTCACCTCATGGCAGTCAGGAAGCAGAGAAAGAAGGGAGAAGGCAGGGACAAGAATATATCATTTCTGATCACACCCTCAGTGGCTTGCCTCCAACCAGGCTCTACCTCCTACAGCTCATTTAGCCATGAACTTATCAATTGATTAATCCACATATGACTACAGTACCTCCATGATCCAATCATCTCCCAAAAGTCTGACTTCTGAATACGTGAGACTTTTGTGAGACATTCTAGATCTAAACCATAACATTCATTCCCTGACCACCAAAAGGTTCACACTAGCTTATTATACAAAATGAATTTAATCCATCTATAATAATATCCAAGTCTTAACATTTCTAGCATTGCTGAAAAGTCCAAGTTCAAAGTCTCCTCTGAGATTTAAGCTGGAAGCTACAGGGATGGCAGGTTATAGCTTGATAGCATCCAGGAAGCAGAGAAAGAAAGGAGGAGCCAGGAGCAAGACCATATCCTTCAGGTCATCCGCAGTGACCCACCAACTAGGCCTCACCTCCTAACAGCAAATGCAGCTATAAAGTCATCCATAGATTAATCCCCTGATAAGTATAACCCTTCCCATGATCCAAGCACCCTCCAAAAGCCCCATCTCGGAACACATGAGACCCTCAGAGGACTTTCTATTTCTAAACTGTAACATACCTCCCCCCATAGACGAGAGAGAAGAGGCTGCAAGCAATTTTAGAGCAAGAGTAAAAGACTTTTAGGGGAGAGAAGGAGCTGAAAGAGACAAAGTTTCTCTGGGCTTTGAGGATGGCATTTGATCTTCAGTCTCTTCCTCTATGATTTTGTATGTTTATTTGTTCGTTTGTTTTTGCTATACTAAGGATCAAACCCAGAACCTTGTGTTTCCTCTGTGATATGAATTTAATCATCCTTGGTTAATGAAATTTAAGTAAAAAGATTGAGTGCAGCTGTGTTCTTCATCGGTAGATCTGGTCTTTAGGTGGATAGGGAACTAAAAGCCACATCTAGCATCTGCCAATCCCAAGGGATAGGTTTAAAATGGTCAGCATATCAAAGAATCACATTTTAGGGTGACTTTCCCTGGCTCACTTTCTGTAGCCGGAGAGAACATTTCAAATTTAATTTCAATGCCTGGTCCAATTGCACTTGTTTTTGTCAACACCACAATAGATTCCCTAGGAGATGTTGTCTTAGAACCCATATTTTTCATTAGCAATATAATATTACATCTCTATGTCAATATATAATTCTCTTTAATGCTGAACAGAGTGCAGTGTGTATAGGTACTACCATGTTTAATTAGTCTTCTTCTTGGATATTTATTTCTAATTTCTTTGCCAATATAGCACAACCCTGAATACTCTCGATTTGCTTCTTTACTCATTTTCCTCCTTTCCTAGGATGAATTCTGAGATGTATAGCTGATGTGGAAAAATGTACTCACATTTTTAAGGTTTCAAGTTTTTCTTTCTAAAGCTACTAATCTTATTTTTAGGAGAGGAAAGCAGCCTTCCCATGCCAGGGTCAGAGTTGAGCTCTTTTACCCCAAACCTCATTGTCAGTTCTCAATTGTCATAAATGCCAAGAACCACAAGCACAGCTATGTGATGGACCTCGGAGGCAAAGGACTGTGGTTAGGCATGGCCATAGCCAGACAGGCTGGAGTGGGTCATGGCTCAGGACTGTAGGTTCAAGAGGCTGTGAGAGACCCTGCCAGGCAGACAGAGCATCCAGGGCCACAGAATGTATAGAGTCAGGCTGGAGCAAAAGATGGAAATTAAAGAATGAGCTGATGCTTGCTTGCCAGGCTGAGGCCAGGGTGAATCCAGCCTTCCCCCAACATAAAGGGAGTCCCCCTTGGGTCCCTCTGATTCTCAGCCCTTCCAAGTCACTACCAGGGTTCCTGGAGTTTATCATGTCTCCATCCCTCTATTCCTTTCTCCTCTGTAAGGCTTGCCTCACTGTGTACCAGCTGTAGCAAAAGATATCTATTCCAGTAGGGTAAATGGTTTCTGACTCCAGAAAAGCAAACGAGTAAGCATGAAGGGCCCAGTCACCCTTCACTCTGGTCACTTTTCCAGGTGGCCATCCTGCAAAGCCCCAGGTTGCAGTTGTCAGCCAGCTCCATGTTCCCAGATTGTGCTCACTCATAATCAACATGTGAGGAATCTGCACTCCACTTCCTTCTGCTTTTGTCCAAAGTCTCTCACCTAACATTTAATTTAACCCTGCAGCTCTGTCCCTCAAAACCCTCTCTCGCATTACATCCCAGACCATCTGTCACTCAGCTTGTCAGGAGCAAGAAAGTCCCATGAGAACTGTGCTCCTCCTCATTGCTCTTCCTTGTCATTCATCCCTCCACCTTGAACTTTTCCCTTTCTATCCCTCCCAGAATGTTGAAATCCTTTTTATGTTTCAAGCACATCCCACATTCTGTTTTCAAGAGTTCTTCCCAGAAACCCAATAGGATAGCTTCTCGATATATACCGTGTTCTAGTATGTCATGCAGATCACACCACATGGTTTTAACTTGGATGAAGCCAAGGATTCCAACCTATGAATCTTCCTCTTCTGGGTAGGGAGGATCACTAGCCTCATACCAAGCAGCTGAGATTTGAATGCCGGTCCTTGAATAAATGAGCTGTGAAGGAAACTGAGCGGACGAACAAATGAATAAAAGAAACTAGTGAAACCAAGTTTATTCCATAGGGGTTTTTCAGCTCCAGCATTTCTCTCTAGGAGGGATTTAGAATAGCATTCTGATGGGAAGGGGGCTGACGCACTTTATAAAACAGAAACAACATGGGTCACAGTAATAGAATGGAGGTGAGAGCCATTAGAGATCCAGAGTAAAGCCAACCTCTCTGCCCCTCTTAATGATCTCCCTATGTGTACATTTTACCTTTCACTGAATTTAATACTTTCTATTGCTTTTGTGTTGCACAGTGTTTTACACTGATTAAATTATATCACACTGTTTTTGAAAGAAAATGTTTTACTGTATTTATGACTTCTGTTTATTTCAGGCAACTATGGTCCTGAGCTCTGCACACTTCTGGTTGGGGTTATTCCTGGTTCCTACCGCTTGTTTGATCGAAGATGTAGCCTGGAGAGCGTAAGTGGAAAATCAGTTGTAGCCCTAAGTCTTGCTCATCTGTCCTTGCAACTGTATCACATGAGCCCTGTCACAGGGTATTAAAGACATGGGATTTTGAAGAAACAGGTCTCCTGCCACCTGCCAGAGAAAGTTTTGTGTTGTGCTTTTTTAAAAACTTTTTTCCAATATGAAATTCATATAGACAGAAAGTTCTGAGTTCGTGAAGGTGAAAAGGGTGATTATCTTGTATATGACTATAAGGAACAGTTTTTAAATACAAAGTCATTCCTTCAAGCTTAGGAAGTATGATTCAAAATTTATTTTTAACTTTTTTATTTTTTAAAATAACTGTTTTTTTTTAAACTGTGGATGCTAAGTGGTCACAAGTATAACCCAGCTTTAAATTGCATGCTTACAGGAAAATCATGTACATGTAAGTCATCTCAAATGACAACAATGAAAAATTCTTCATTTTTTCCTAAACAATTCTTGGAAGGACTCTTTCCAATACAGTTCTTCCACAGAGTTAATTTACAGGTTCATGAGAAAGTCAAATCACAAAGATGAAATTATAATGTAAGTTAAGAAAATAATTCATACTCAACTTTTTTTTTGGTTCTGAAATATATCATTTATAAAATGTCTGCTTGCAATGTGAAAAAAGAAATAACTAAGTCCCAAGATAATCTAAATTTTAATTTCACCCAGGAGCAAAAGAGATTGCTCCAAATGAAATAATCTTGGTTTTGGTTTGAATGGGCCCAACTACAATTAGTTTCCAACTTCCCTGAACATTGAGAATCCTATCTTGGCTTTACTTTGGGCAAAGCGTAATTATTTTAAGGCCCTAAGGTAGAGAATTGAGACTTTAATCTAAACTTTCCAGGAAGAGACATCAAATTTCATTTTTATCTCCCCATTCCTCCCACACTCCATGAAAATTGTTCCTGGTTGACAGTTAAGGATGTCTTTTGAAAAAGTCCTCATTTCAGCACTGTCTTGACAACCAACCACACTTAATGCAGAGAGAAATGGGGGGAAAATTTTATAGCATAGATTTTGTTTTTGTTTTTCTCTGCAGCTCATTTAATTTTTCAATTGTTAATCAAAAATAATTACAGTTTCTTAAATGCTTCCATTTTATTTGCTGAGACTGTGTTCTGTAAATAGCGGAACCAGAATCTTGGAAAATGAAACATAAATTGTGGCCAAGAAAGAATTTTCTTAATCTGATAACTGCGCTATAAAAAACATGTGAGTTCTGTCACTTGCTCCTTGAGCCAGTAGCACAATATACTTATTCCCTATCTGAATTTGTTGAAGTTTGCAAACATTAGTTAGTTTTAGACAAATACAACATGGCCTTGACCACATCAGATGCCTTTTCAATGTTTAGTGATTAAGAAGTTGTAACATGCTTATAATTTAGTCTCAAACTGTCTTTATTCAGCTATCTTAAATTAATGTCATGAAAACATCTTCTATTGAGGCTACTTTTGCCAAGTGAGACTTGAAAATTATTCTTTCTTCCTAGAGGGTATAGATTATGCAGTCTGTGTCCCCTGGTCTATTTCTGGATGTTTTCCGAGTACAAGTTCCCTGTCAATGAAGCAAATTATCATTCCCTCCAACAAGACTTGATTTGGGTCCTGTTGTAGGGCCCACACTGTAAAATTATCACCATGTACATTTTAACAAGAATAAATCAAATGACACTGCTTCCAGCTCCACCAGATGGAAAGGGTAAAAAGTCGCTTCCTTTCCAAAGCTTGCTAGCTAGGTTGGAGCAGAAAGCACGTCCGTGCATAGGAGGTGTGGGAGCAAGGAGCAGAGAAGGTCGGCCTTGTGCATTTCCTGTGAAGCCTGCAGTTGCAGGCTGCTGCTTGCTGCCTGGTGCCACAGCCCCAAACACAGTGCTGAGATCTCTAGCTCTCCACTGAGCCAGAATGGCCTCTGCTGACAACCAGAACCGCTTTCTGAAATGCATTTTTGTCTTGTTTTATTAGAAGGACTAGGAAAGATAGTGCATATTAGCTGTCATCTGGAATATTTGCCCGAAACAGATGCCCAGTCTGCAATAGTTATTTAATATCTAGAGTATAGTCACCCCTCTCCTCAAAAACGAATCTCGTGACTTTATTTGGACCTTGCCCCTCTGATCATGGGGCCCATATTCTATCTAAAATTATGCTTTCAATAAAATTCTTATAGAGTTTATAAGTCTATAAGGAAATCAGCCACAAAGAAGAAATTAAAATGTAGATTAAATAGGAAGGAATTCATATTCAGTTTGCTTTTAGGTTTTAAAATATATCATTTTGGCCTGGGGTTGTAGCTTGGTGGTGGACCATTTACCTACCACTACCTGTGTCCTATACCCAGCACTACTAAAATGAAATATATCATTTCCAGCTGGGTGCAGGGGCCTATGAGACTGTAACCCCAGCTACTCAATAGGCTGCAGGAGGACTATGAGTTAGTTTGAGCACAGCCTGAGCAACATGACAAGATCCCATTCCAAAATATATATAATTATAATATATGTATAAGTATAATAAATATGATTTCCATATGTGGTGTATAACAAAAGAAACAGCTAAATCCAAAAATAATGTAAACTTTAATTTCATCCATAAACATGCGAGAGAGAGAGATTTCTCCAGATAAGATAGGATAGGAAAAGTCTGAAATATTTGTTGGAGCAAGTAGATTTGGAGGCACTTTCTAAAGGGATAAAGCATGTAATAAATTGATCGGCTTTGGTGAGGCCACAGTGATTAACTGTGTTTTCTGAAATGCAGCTTTTAAAAATGTGTTGTTTTTATTTTTTTACTGCACATTGAATAATCAGTTGGTTTCTGTTGTCTGATATTTATTGAGGCATGATCCACTATAATGTACCCTGAAATTATCAGAAGAGGTTTAGATTAATGAATAGGAATTAAGGAGCAGCTGAAGAATAACGTTTTGGGGGCTGGGGATTTAGCTCAGTGGTTCCACCGCCTGCCTCACAAGTGCAAGGTCCAGAGTTTGATACCCAATACCAAAAAAAAAAAAACCAGAATACCTTTTTTTTGGATTGGGGGGTAGGTGCTAGAGATTGAACCCAGGACCCAGAGTACTTGCATGTGCTGTAATCACTTGAGTACATGGTCCTGAAGAATTCGTGTAATTAACAGGAGCCTGTGGCAGTGATGTTGCTACAGTACTTTAATCTTGCCTTGTGTCAGTTATAGGGATGTTTTTTGTCTTGAATTTTGGTCCTTATGCTATTTGTTTTCTTTTGTTTCACTTTTTTTTCTTGAGACAGGATCTCCCTCCCTATGTTGTCTAGGCTGGCCTCAAATTCCTGGGCTCAAGCCATCCTCCTGTCTCAGCCTCTTGAGTAGCTGGGACTACAGGTGCATACCGCCACACATGACTTGGTCATTCCTGGCTTTTAAAAGGGTTTTTAAATTCCAGCACAGGCCACGCCTGCCTTGTCAGACTTCTGAGAGTGCCTAACAAAGCAAGTTAGTTGCTCTACCTTGAATTTTCCCCTTTTTCCTAAGTCTCTTACTTCCAATTCAGGACCTGGGCCATTAAGAGTAAGAAAAAAAGCAAAAAAGAATGAGATAATTCAGTCACTTTTTCCATGAAGTTTGTCAAGTTTGTGGATGAAGATCTATAAATTAGACTATCTTAAGTCAGATTTGGAATGCTGTAAAATGCATTAAATGCTGTAAAATGCCCTATACCCTGTTCACCAAAATTTTTATGAGGGCCCAAACTAGCCTATATTTTATTAAAATAATTGATTGATTATATGTGATACCTGGCTAATGTAGTGTTATTAGAAGTATGAAGTATAAATTGCCCAGAACTATTTTAATATCCTTTAGCTTACACTCTTCCAAAATGTTTACCTGTGACAGATGCTTAGGTGAGCTGCCACATACAAATTTTCATCTAGGAGAAATTCTTTATGCTTTGTTTTATAGAAATAATAGAAAGCTCAAGGCCATGGAGCCCAGAGTAACCAGGCTCCTCTTATCAAACTGCATCTCTTTTCTGTTACCAGGCATCACACAGTACATTCGCCAATTCCAGAATGACTTCATTTCCTTGTTATAATCCCAGATAGGCAACTAAATGGCAATAAAAGGTAATAAGCAACTTCCACGTACAAATGAGCCTTGGTTACTTTTTTAACATTCTAACTAAACTAATTTCTCTTGAAGCCTATTATTTCCATTTTTATCCACAATTAGAATGTAACATTTCTTTTTGGCTTGCAAGCAAAAGGAGCCCAGAAAAAAATTTTAGAAACAAAAAGATAAAAAGGTCAAGATCCTAAATGAAGATATTTCTTTTAGGAGTCCCTAAGAGCCTGGAGACAGCATTCACTGCATCAGAAAGCTCACAGTCGACGCCTCTGTCCGTAGCCAAACACCCCAGCTCGGTCCCTTCTCTGGTGACCTGGTGTCCTGAGTGGGGTGAGATGAAACAAGCTGACCCACTACAGCTGAGCCAATTCTAGATAATCAGACTTACTCTGTCAAAGGTGTGACCCACACCTCAGCTCACGGCCAGACTACGTTACAGGCCAGGGCCTGATGCTTAAAAGGCTGAGTTGATAATAAGCTATAAATACAAAGCTGTAGTCCATTCACATGCAGCAGACTTTCAGGGACATTTTAGACCCCTTTTTCTAATTTAGGCCTTATTAGGTAGAGGTGCTTGAGAAAATGGTTTCCATTGCTAGCATCCCTTCTACTTAAGTGCTGCACACAGAAAGAACAGCCGAATCACCAGCGTAGCAATCCAGTGTTCTCAGATAGTGCCAGCGTTCAGGCTAGCTCACAGGAGCTAACCTAGTAGAGAGTCTACCGACTTACCTGATAAGTCTGATTCTGGATTCAGTTTCACCCACTGAAATGCCCAGGAGCATAGAAGTCCTCAGGTCACTGCCCTCTTAGGCCACCTAGTAAATGGGTAAAAACTGGCAGCACCAGTGCCCTGGGTGTCATGTTCTTTTTTACTTCTCCTAGGTTATAGATTTTCAGTCCCCTGAGCCCAGACCTTCCAGTGACTCCTTCATAGCAACTCCCTTGCGTCCTGGTCTGCACTTCGAAGTGGGAGCAGATCTAGAAGTAACCACCTGTGCAAGAGGTGATGGGATAGGGCAGTCCCGGAAGAGTGAGAGAGCTTGTCTCAGTCACTTCTGAAATTGCTGTGACAAAACTCCTGGCACCCACATCTTAAAGGGGGAGAGGTTTATTTTAGCTCACTGCTTTAGTCCATGGTCGACGGGGTGCAAGGCAGAAACAGCACGGCAGAGGGGCCTGGCAGAGGAAAAGGCACTCACACCACGGCAGCCAGGAAGCAGAGAGACAGGGAGGAGTAGGTGCAAGGGAGGAGCAGGTCAGAATACCCCTTCCAGGTCACGCCCCTAATGACCCACCCACTTCAGACCAAACATGAGAATCCTGGGGACAGTTGAGATCTAAACCGTTATAATATCCATCCTTCGAAACCAGCCCCACATTCTCCTGGTACCTGTGTATGTGGGGTGCATCTGAGTGGGTGGGGCATGCCATCAGTTAATTTATTACCAATAGAGCCCCATAAGCCCTTGAGATAAAAAGTAAAGCTTACACAGAATATCCAGTAATAATGAATACACTGAACAGTATACATTGCAACATCCTTTTTCACTATCTCTAGCAAAACATTGGCCTTTCTCGTTTATTGTTTAAATTAAAATTCCACAGTCTCTGCTTTGAACTGCGGTATTTTATCAATCCCGAGTTTCAGGACACCATTTGAAGTAATGAAGGCATTAGGTGTTAAAACCTGTACGGCTTTCTCTTGTTTACTTTATGGGAAAGGATGACAGGCACATATACAGTGCCTTCCTGCTGATAACCCATTCCAGATTAACATGGAGTGTTGGATGACTCGGCCTTATCTTAACAAGCTTTCTGTCTTTGAAGCTGGAGGACTGGAGAAGAACACAACTCTGTGGAAAACACCTTCACCCTTGGAGTGTCCCATGGAGACGCTTTTCTCTTCTATGCAGATGTGCTCAGCAGTTGCTGTGTCTTTGAGTCCTGGTATCTACTGGGCTCCTCACATGTATTTTTAATGAAATGAAACTGATGCAAAGCTTTTCATAATAAAGAAAATGGCCAGTCTTGCTAATATATGAGCCTCCTCATTTTATAGTGTTTCTTTTCCCTTATCTAACTTATACCTTGTTAAATGCCTTTTCTTCACCTACATTCTTCACCTATTCTCCATCCAGTAGTTCAGTGTTGGCTTTGTTTAGTCTCAATTGTTTTTTAACTGTTTAACACAGACACAAGATTTATTTAATGAGGAAATAGAAGACAGCACTCTGAGTGCATCCTCTGGGGCAATGACTCTTTTTACACTAAAGAGGAAGGGAGGAATCTGCTAGCCTCTAGGTTTTCTGTCTGCATTTGGGCAAGGACTACAATATGTTCACAGAGGCAGGATTTCAGACATCTCTTGGGCCTTTGGGCTCTGCAGTACAAAGCTTTAGGACCTGACTCCTGGATCTGCACGGACCCCTCATGGTCTTTTTTTTTTCTGGTACCAGGGATTGAACTCAGGACCTCGTGCAGCGCCACTGGCCACGGAGCTATATCCTGGTCCCCTACTTGGTCTTTAGTTGACATGGTGGGCATCTCAGCTGGGTCTGCAGACCGTCATCCCTCTGGGGGATGACTTCTGACATGCATGGTCTGGGCCTCATCTGCAGCACTCTGGATGCTTGTGGGCTGTGCGGCAAGGCTCGTGTTAGTCACAGACACTGGGAGTGCTTCATGATGGCCCATGCCTCAGCCTTGCCAGAGGACCTCTGGGTGTGAAGAGGCAGGATGACCAGACTTGACAGCTGCCTCAGGTTTGTGTGTCATGTTTCTTTCATTTTTCTTCTTTTCCTGATACAGGGCCAAGCACACCTACAAAAAGACATTGCTGGAGGAGGTGCAGGAGCTGGAAACCAAGTCCAGAGTGATGGGAAAAGCGATGCTGAGGGACAGCAATGGAAAGAGGTGGGCTGTTGCATGCAAGGAAAGGACCCAAACTCTCCCAACTTTCTCCCTACTTTTCCTTCCCTTCCTTCTGCTCATCCTGGTTTTCAGTGGAAGCACAGTATGCTCAGTTTTAATCATTTGGGGTATTCTCTAAGAATGTCATCATGGCAAGGTTTAAACTGCACTTTCTCCACAGCCACGTGAAATCTGACTTCCTGGCTCACTGGGCCTGTCCTGAGGTCAGACTGCAACTGTGCTTCAGTGTGCAAGTGGCAGGGCAGTACTGTCATTTTCAGGTAGGAGAGTCCAGATTTAGCAGTATTACCAGAAAGGATCTAAAAGCCATGTCTCTAGATTGCAGACCCAGTCACTGTACCCAAGGATAAATGTCTCCTGTGAACATGTGTGCTGAAACACGCGTGTTTTAGTTATTCATGTAAATCTCTTACCATCCACTTCAGTGTACCTGGGATAGGAATTAATGAATCATTACTTTCGACTGGAGCTGTGAAAGACTGTGGGAACTTCTGCCACAAAAGCTGCTAGTTGCTGACCCTTATCTCTCATAGAGCATTTGCCTGGTCTTCCCTATACTTAACAGTTGGGTGTGTGAATAATGTCTGTTTTATCACATATATTAAAAATGTTCGTAGAGTGCATTTGTGCAAAATCTATGTGCTACCAAAGATTTCTCTGCGCCTGAGAACACTTACAATAACAGAAAATCATTGCTGTATTAGGGAAGGGATATGGGATGTCTAGACACCTCTAAGTGCTTAGAAGAAATCCATAGCTAACTATGCATGAAACAAACATCTGCAAGTGGAATACTTCTAGAAACTCCTCCTATGTGTTGCTTGATATTGTATTTACTTGGGGCATCTTTTAAAGCAGTGATGATAAAGCAGTTTTTTTGGTTTTGTGGGGGTTTTATTGTTTTCTTTTGTTTTCAAGACAGGGTCTCACTATGCAGTTCAGGCTGTCCTTGTACTCTTTAAGTAGCACAGGCTGGCCTCGAGCTCATGGCGTGCCTCAGCCTGCCAAGTGCTGAGATTACAGGCAAGTGCCAGCATGCCCAGCCCAAGCAGATTTTTATTTTTTTTATTTTTTAATTTTTTTTTCATTTAAAAAAAATTTTTTTGGTACCGGGGATCGAACTCGGGTTCTTCTGCTTGTGAGGCAGGTGGCAGAATCACTGAGCTAAATCCCCAGCCCCAGATATTTATTTTTAAAAGAAGAATGATTCAAACATTTGAAGAAGTTTTAGGAGTATCATTTCAAATAACTGTTGAAATTTTAGGAAGGGAATCTTGATCGAGAATCTATGTAATTGAAGTTTTGGTGTTTGGTTTAATTTATGATTTACATTTTAATGAGCACATTAAGCATTCATTGTATGGCAGCCATGCTAGTTGTATATAAAATTATCTATTAAAGTTATATAAAAAATTATCAATCAACAAGACAAAAAAATGTTGTGTTCATTAAGCTTAAAATCATGGCTCTGTGAGGCTTGGATATTCAGGTCAGAGTAATTGCTATACTAGGCAGTGCCCCCTGAAGCATGCTCAGGACTCTTATCTGTCAGAGGGTTTAGGCACAAGGCTTAGCACCTATTAGCTTTTCAAAGACCTGCAACATTTTCAAGTCCTGACAAAAGGCATATTTATAGGCTCCAAATTAGACAGTAGGGAACCCCAGCAAGTTGAGATTAATAAATATTTAAAACTCTGAAAAATGTATATCCATCTTAATACCTATTAATAAGCACAGTAGGTTTTATCATATTCAGAAGCAACCTACAGACTTTCTTATAACTCGCAAATTCTCAAGTATACACAAGATTGCTAAATAAGCATAAATAATTTCTAAATAAAGTGAGAATTTTTTTTCTTCCTTTTATTTTTTTTCAATGCTGAGGATCAAACCCAGGGCCCTTGCAAATACTTGGCAAGTGCTCTACCCAGGAGCCATAGCACCAGCCCTCAAATGAGAATTTCAAAGCAAAACTCTAAACTCCAAATATTTCACAGAAAAGCATTATTTATAAAGTGATGTGAGAATGCTCTTTCACATGTTTTCTGTGACATGGGGCACCATCCCCTTCTGGCCTCGGAGGTTCTTAAACAGGCCTGGCGCTGGGGTCAGTCACATGGTCATTCAGAAGAGGCAGCAACCCAGGAGACACATGGCTGGAACAATCAAGAAAGGCTTTGTGTTGGAGACAGGATGGACACCAGGGCTATGAGGGTCCACGGGACTTGAGCAGGCAGTGGGGATGCGGTTGCAGCGGCAGCATAGGGGAGACGGTGTAGGAGCAAGGCTACTCCGTTGGGAGGGCCACAGGCTTGTCACAGAGATCTGGAGCCTGGCTTTGCATACTGACTGACTCACTTAGCCCTGTGACCTTGGCCAAGACATTCATATAATGAGACTGTCTCTTCCTCTGTCATAAAAGAAGGCTAATACTTTTTGAGGTTGGGGATAGGGCTTATGAAATAATACATACAACACAGCATGCTATGCTGCCTCAGCGACTGCAGGAATGCAACATGTTAGTCATGAGTTATTCAGTTTAGCCAGGGTCATGGTGTTGAAAGGAGTCATGCACTGTCAGCCCTGAAACCTCTATCTCTGCCTGTTGATAAAAAGAACATTTGTGTGTGTGTGTGTGTGTGTGTGTGTGTGTGTGTTTACTAGAGATCCACACAGGCCTCATACCAGTGGCCAAACGCATAACAGTAGGTGCTGTTTCAAAAATCAGCTTTTATATTCAGTCTTTAGTATTCAAATGGAAATCAGAAGACAGGGTTTAAATATCATTTTTACCTGTTTCATGTAAAGATCTGTTTGCTTGACCCTTTTCAGTAGGTGTGACTGAGTGTGTGTATGTGCATATTCGTGTGTGCACACCCCGCTTAGTTACGCTGTTTCTCTTGTCTCCTGGCCCCAGCTGCTTCCTGCCTGCTGCAAGGGACAGGGAGCCAGAAAGAGTGGGGCTCAACTCTGCAGCCCATCCAGCTCCCCACCCTTTGTTTTCCCTCCTAATTGCTCCACATTTTCTGGGTGGTCCCTCTGGGAACTAGATAATGGAGGCATGCTGCTCTCTTTCAGAGACAGTTTTGTCCTGCTTGGCCTCTTGAGAGCTGCCTCGCAATTGTTCTTTTATCACTTTTGTTTGCTTCTTTCACACCTGCTTGGATTTCTATGCACCTCAGCTGGGGGGGGGGGGGGGGGGGGGGAGAAACTTCAGCTGGGTTCTTGCTTTTGAAGATTTTATGGATTCCTTCTTTGAGATCCTGGGTTGTTTTTTGGGTTTTTTTGTCCCCTATCACATTGTCTTATCCATTCTTTCTTTCCCACCCCCATCTGATTCTTCAGTTTACCCCTGTAGCTCTCTTACCTCTTAGCTTTACACATAGTGGCAGCTGTGTAGGTGTTGGTTCACTGACTAGCTGGATATGCCAAACTCCAGCGAAGTGGCAAGGAAGAAAGGAAGGTGCCTGGGTGCCTGATGTGCCAGCTCATCCTGAACAGGACCACAGGGAGATTCTGAGAGAGATGGGGTCACTTGATCTCCAGGGAGAGGGTGATAATGTTATTGCTTAAGAACAGAGTTAACAGGGGCCAGGATTTAGCTCAATGGTGCCCCTGCCTGCCTCAAAAGTACAGAGTCCTGAGTTCGATCCCCAGTACAAAAAAAAAAAGAGAATAGAGCTAACAGAGTCCTGAGTGGAATGGCACTTGTTACACCAGAGGCAGATGTGACATTAGCACCATGATCCCTGTGTAAAAATGTGAAGGAAGGCTTCGAGCTGGGCCTTCATTCCTGCCCCCACCCAGCCTCCATCTGAGGCCACAGCATCCTAACCATGGAGACTCACTCAGCTCAGCTTTGACACCTTTCCTAGGGCCCAAGTCATAGCGTGTGTGTCCAAGTCACTAGCAATTATTCAGAGCATTTTCTCTTAGAAACATTCTCATAGGAAACAGAACAAAAGTCTTTAGGCATTAATCTTAGAAAAGCCACTTATGCCAAATTTACAGTTATAATTTTGACATGGTGGCTAGGAATTCTGTTTCCTGCCAGGTGGTATTCATTCAGTAAAATACTTTAACCAGACATTTTAATGAATTTATCTAAGCCCCAAACTTTATTTTAATAACATGTTAAGTTCATGTTCTCATTTACATGCTCCTACACTTTCTTACTAGTACACCTTGTCTTCAAATTAACTTGTGAAAGCTAGGTATAAATAAGCCCTATTCTTATGATTTTGATAAGACAAGCTGACAATGAGAAAAACTGAAGCAGAGAATCAGAGATCCAAAAAGTATGGTGAAGTAAGAAATTAAAAAATGCTTCAGTTAATGAATAAAAAGACATATTTTGACTTTGGCATAACCTTTTAGAAAGAGGCTTTGTTTTTGTTTTGATTTGGTTCCAGGTTGTTGGGGTTTTTTTTTTTGTGGTTTATGCACCTCATAGGCACTGGACACTTAGTAATATTTGGCTTGGTCAGGATACTTTCTAAAACCATCCTCCCTGGAATCCTTCCTGAGTGGAGGTTGAGAAGCCTTACTGCTGTGTGTAGTAGAATAGCCTACTCAGCATATCATTATTTTGAGTGTAGCTAAGAAATGAAGAGTTAAATGGAAGAATTCCTCTTTTCAACATTTTGATAATATTCTTCTATGTTGATTCCTAAAGTGTAACGCATGAAATTTTTTCTTCTAGTAGAAGAAAATCTATCCCTGACCACTTACCCATCTAGATGCACTACAAACAGATGTCCAAAATGTCATGTAAGAGAACAAACTTTCTTATCCTTTTTCTCCTTCCTTGGCATGAGGCAAGGGGTGCTGCATGTTTTAGGTGTTGTAGCAAGCAAGAAAAAGGTGACTGTATTTCGTAGGAATATCTAGTTGTTCAGCTCTGCTTAATCTGAATGAACGAGACCCTTGCTTTGTTCCAGATTATCTTTCCCTCCATTCATCATCGTTGATGGGTGCAGAGG